CGTTGGAAGCACTGTCTGGCGCGTCTGCCTCCGCGACCCGAAAGGAGAAGCGGCGATGGAAGATGAAGACCGTCTGTTATACCTTCATCTTGCGGTCAGTCAACTAAGCGTTGTTCTGGTTGCGTTCGTTATCCAACTGTGCTTTTTAAACCAGTTAAGGAACAGGAGCAACAAAAGCGAGAGAGGAGACAGTGGACGGTTGAAAGAGGATGAACTAGGTCTTAAATGTATTAACGCGTTAACAGCAGTTTAGAGGAAATTCATTCATTCATTTATTTTCAAAATATGTCATTCCTTTTGAATTGCAAAGGCAGCAAGTTCACATGCTTTTCAACCGTCGTCCTGAACCCCCATAAACTGGTCAAGCTCTAGGAGCTGAAACCCACGAAGAGGTCAATTACAATAAACTGGTTATTCCTTTCGGTTGTTGCTGTCGCTTCAACAGATCTGGGTTTAAACAGGTTAGACTGTACGGGAACCAACGAAAAGTCTGTGGATCAATAGATCGAAAAGCCGGTATCGGTTTACTACCACGACACCAAAATAATGCATTGCATTATACATACTGTTTTACACTGTTTTGGTAAGACTACTAACTTATGAACCAAATGCACAATCCAGAGAATACTACTGAACAATATTTTCAACCATCAAGATAATGGCAACCAACAAGACCAAGCGTAACTGACTGGCAGTGCCATAGCGAGTGTTCGGAAACTGATTAACAAATTTTTTCGAAGAAAACCAAGCCACACTAGCTCCCCATCGAGACTACCGCAAAAATTGCATCAAAATAACGTAGAAATGCGAGAGAACGCCATTAAGTGAAAGCAAACAAAAGTGCTTAAGGAACAGAATGATTACATTTCTTCCATGCCCAAACGTTTGACAAATTTCTGCGTTCCACCATGGAGAGTTGGATCAGAGGGAAAGAGAAAATGCTATATAGTGCACTCCTGAACTGCTGTTGAAACAGTAAAGAACGCTACAGTCATCGAAACAATCGGCTAATGATGCTTTCAGAACCCATGTTCATGGAACTCCTTATGCCCTTTCAGACAATATCCAATATCTAACAGAAAGATTAAACAAACAAAACAAACCTAGCAGATAAACCGGAAATCACAGTATGTCTTAATCTCCGAAAAAAGCTTAATGAAACCTTTTCATCACACTATCTACTCTGTCAGTTGAAGATGCAAATTCATGGGCAAAATGTCAGAAGTTTGAACGACGCGTGATCTCCCAGGAAACGGAAAAATCCTTTGAAGGACCTGAACAGTCAAAATCTGGTAAATGTGGGGTGCCGAAATTGTCAAATTTATAACATGGTGCTGTCATCCTTTGAAAGATGAATTAGCGTAGCAGCTGCAAAATTAACTCATAATACGCTTGATTAAAGGATGGCTCACAAGGCAGAGCGAACCAAGAAACGATATCAAATCTAAATATTCGACGAGGCGAAGTAACTGGATCTTAATAAATGTGTTAAATAGAAACAATTTAAATTTCGAAGTTGATGATGATTTTACTTCATAGTTACTGCAATTCAGACGCATCCCATTCATGATTAACTCGCTTGACCGCACGCAAAAGTCAAAGAAAGATCACTTGAATAAGGTTTTCAACCAAAGAAGACAACTGCATTCAGGCCAAAATGAAGCGTAATATCAAATGCAGTGACGTTTTCACAAAACATTACTGAATAAGGGGGTAAAACGGCAGTGTATGTTGTAAGCAAAGCAAGTGCAGCGACGCAGTCCTTGCATAATGCCACTCATATTCAACAAAACATGTAGTGGATATCTGATCTGTTGACTTTGCCTTGCAGCAGACAATATAACTGAACCAAAAAACGGAGTGCAATGAGTCACTAATAAGTAAAGTTCAATTGGGGCTAGTTCCGTTTTTGACAGATGCAGAGCATAGAGGCGACTATGTTTACTGTATGCAACTACTTGAGTTCTGTTGAAAAGTAAGTTAACAAACGTTTCGTCTAGTCCTTTTATAAAATAGGAGTGAATTTTTGTCAGACGTAACTTTTCTCTAAGTAATTAATCAGATATTACAATCACCCTTCGCCACAAGCTTCCAACCACTGATTTTCAAGTATCACAGAACTGTCTGAAGTATGATAAAGAACTAAACAGAAGCTACTTAAACTCAGTGTTTAGCAACTGCAAACCGTAAATGCAGACCGATATGCGATGAAGAATAATCTAATACCTTGAAAAGAAATGAAAAAAATCCTGTATTCTTAAAAGCAGTACGGTATAGGCAAAAATGATTACCGCCTCGCGTCTTCGACGTTCTTGCTCACGCATCCTGTCTACTTCCCTCTGAGACAATGCGCCACTCTTCGCTAAATCAGCAGTCGCCGTCGCATTCGCTATTAAATTGGCTGATTGGGAAACTTTCTGCTGCCCAGAACGTTGCTGCTCTAGGTGTAATCGGGCTTTTTCCAACATTTCCACCTCTTTTTCTTCCTGCTCTTGTTGCACAAGTTTCTCGACCTTCAATCGTTCTTCATATTCCCTAATTTTACGTTTCTCTTCTTCTTGTCGTTTTAGCTGGAGTCTCTGCAAAACATTCCTTTGTATACAATATCTTTTCAACAAAACCGAAAGCGGTTATATCATAGACTTCTATATAGAATTCCAATAAAAGTTATCAAAACCTACCACAGCGAAAAACAAACATCATGTTAACTAATTAGGTAAAATAATTTTTAAGACACGAGGTAGGCATTAAAAAGATCTTACCGAAATATACCACACTGGCAAATACAGATATTTGGCGATCAATTTCTACTAACGGCTTTTAACGTTGTCACTATTATATAAGATAAACATGAGCGGATCATAGAGAAATAAATGGAGTATATGTGAAAATAAGAACAAAACTACTGGAGTCAATACGCTTAGTTATACTGCGTGATCGATTTATGTATACAATGGCGACGACAAATTTATATACGACAAAACACCCCCGCCTCCAAGGTGCACAAGGTATACACCGAATTTAACAGTATACATCTCTACCTGAAATCACCGTTTCATAGCCTCCACAGTTTTCCAATTCCAATTCTTCCAATCAGCTGTTTTAAGACCATCGTACTCGCACCTCACAGTACGATGTTATAACATGTTGTGAACAAAAAAAAACAAAATTTTTCTCTACTGCTGATACAAACTGCGTGCTTCATATGTTCAGCTTCCCGCTTTATGTCTGCGAACCAGTTTCCTCAATGTAGTTATCTCAATAAAACAGTTTAGATAACTCCGCTTTCAGACGTTTAGGTAAAATACAATTCTAGTACAGGAACCGATATAGTTTAGGGAGCTAAATACTCCATTTACCTCTTATCTAGCCATGAATCAGCTGACTCCCTAAAATAAAGAAATATCAAGAGAGGTTGGCTATTGGGATTGTACGACACTGGTCGTTGTTCCTGTTCTGGTTCCAAAAAATTCTGCTGAATGAAGAGTCATTACTGCGAATACAAAGTAATGGAGGGAGAATAGAGGGAAAAAGAAGAATCTATAAGAAATCATAACAAAACGAACGAACAGGAAGATAAACAGAGGAAAACACCTAGGGGACTGAGATCAGCTTGGTTACGTAAGAATATATTATAACATAATTATACTTTTCACTTCGAATATCTCACAATCCACATTGCCTGTGCTCCGTGGTTCGCATTATAGCCCATTCTGCTCAACTTTAACCAAATTAATTTCCTCCCATACCTCGTGCACCAACTTAGGTTCGTCATTCCAACAAACGCGAGGAGAGCAGCGGTAACTACACCAATTTTGAAACTTACGGGTAATTTGCAAATTACTTCAAATCTTGCAAGGGAAATCACAAATCGCTGGACATGCCCCGATTCCATAATAAACAGTAACACAAGTACTTATCTAACTGAATTAGACTAACAAATTTTAATTTAAAATGAGTGCTTAGATTTCCTGAACAGTTCCAATTGGAAACAATTCATATCTCATTGATATCCACTCAGAAGGGCGTCAAAGAGATGCTGTCTCATCAGCACTCTTCGCCGTGATCTTTGAATGACTGAAGTAATGTAACGGTGGAAATACTGACGCAGATCAGCTAATGCGCCTGTTATTTGTGGAAGACTTCCATAGTCTCTACATAAGGCATAATGGAGCCCAACAAGGTCAGCATTTCCAAGAATCTCTCAATATCACATTGGATATTAACTCCTTCGGGACGAAATGGACGCGCAACAAGCCCGACGTATCATCCGTCATTATCTACGGCGCTGAATGCCGGTCTACCACTAAAATCCAGAGATGCAATGTAAAACAGATCGGCAGGGTAAAACTATTACACCAGCGCATGATTCAACGCACTGTTCATTATTGACGCGCGCGACTAACACCGTTGTACTGTTCCACTTACCGCAATATGACCGTAACCACCAGAGCGAAACAAATATTTAGAAACGATTTACTCGTTCTTCTTTCTCTTTCGCCTGCTTTTTAAACTGTTCGAAACTGTCCATAGCAGATGACTTTAGCGTAGTGTTCGAGAAACTGGATGCACTAGCCTTGGCTAATGCAGACCAAGAAGACGCATTTTTAATACCAGAGCTTGCCGTACTGGTTGCTGTCTGGCCTCCACTGCCCGTATCTCCTCGCCGTTCTGGCTCTGAGAAGAATTTGAACGCAAATTAGCAGACCATAACTGCATTATAACAGCACGTGAAGTTCGTGTCATACCAGCAACTTTTTCAGAAATCGCAGCAAACTTTAAACCGCTGCCTCCACCACTGGATGAAGCACTACTCAAAGACGTTCTGGGTGCCGCTGTCGAGGAGACACTACCACTCATCTCGCTACCGCCACCCGTTTCGCACAGAGCATCACCTAAATTTAGTATTACTTTGCCTGAACAATGACGCCAGCGTTAGAATACGGCGAACTACGGATAATCTCTTTACGGCTAATAAATTAATAACGTTGATTTTTGTTTTATCAGTGACGCACAAAGGAACTTTACCCCGAGCAGAAACGACGTTCGTAGGTTTCTTCGTCGCGACAACAGAACCAGATTTTGCAGGTGCGGAAGACTGCTGCGACAAAAATTTGCTTGCAGCAGCACTTTTGCTATTACTCTCTAACAAAAGCTTTTACAGTCAGAACAGGCTTTAAGCGTCTAAGCAAACCTGCACATCCCAAAACTGGCTTGGCGGTTAGTGATGAATTTGTCGTGCCTGACGGCTGCGAAGTTGCACTTATCTGCAAAACAAGTATTACGTGTCATACAACGACTGGAACTCTAAGCGAACCCCGTTTCGCACAACTGTACCGCTGCTGCCAGCAACTGCAGAAGAGTTAGGATAAAGAGCAGACAATTCACCGACACCAGTAGCTAAATACATTACAGTATGGGCTTAATACTTCCATAAATACAAATCAGGCATTCAGACAATGTTTACTTCACTATTTGACAAGTTCTGTGATTTCATGCACACAGAAATCGGGCAACGTAGCGAGCAAATTGATTTCTACGCGGATACTTCATTTTGAAAAATATGAAGTTGCAAAAATGTCTAGGTTTCAATGAGAGCCTCAGGCCACTAAGAATGTAAAGAATTTTAATCGTTTTCAACATCATTTACAAACAATTACAACCACAGAGAACAGCTACCAGATTTAAAAGCAGCAAACAAGTCCATGAAACAACAAAGTACAGAGGATGATAAGACACGAGCAGTACGGAAAACAACTCTACAACAGCGTCAGTAAAACATTCCAGTCAAGCCAATGAGTGCAATACGTGCTATTCGCGGCTGATTTGAAGCAGTAAGACGATGAAACCACATTCAATAACTTAATTTTCGTACAGGGCCTTCCAATCAGCCCGTTTCATCCTTGGAACCGTACAATCACGACAAACATACAAACAAAATATTTTTGAGATCAGTAAGCAAAAAGACACTTTGCACTCATGGCCTGAGGCTCAAATTTAACACTGAGACAACTTTTGCTAAACTAATAATGGCAACAACGCAACTAATATTTAGTCAGCAGCCGATACAGGCAATCAATATTCGTATATATACATATGTATATATATATAGATCTATATATTAAGGAGCAGGCTTGAAAAAAAATCCAGTTTGAGTTTGAGTGCATACGTAACTCCAACGAGCTTAGGAATGCAACACGAGGCCATAGCGATAGCTAACCTGATTCCGAATCGCTCGAA